ATGGGAGAGCATAACTGCCAATGATATTTCAAATACGGGATTAATTTCCAAAATATATAGAGTGCTAATACAAGTCAACAGGAAGAAGACAAAGAGCCCAATCAAAAAATGGTCAGAGGAACTAAATAAACACCTCTCCAAACAGGACATATTAATGGCTAAGAGACATATGAAGAAATGCTCAACATCACTAATAATCTGGGAAATGCAAATTAAAACAACAACAAGGTCACCTCACACCTGTCAGAATGGGTGCCATCAAAAAATCATCAAACAACAAGTGTTGGCGAGGGTGTGAAAAAGGGGGACTCTAATACACTATTGGTGGGAATGCAGACTGGTGCAGCCACTATGAAAAACAATATGGTGTTACCTCAAAAAATTAAAAATTGAACTTCCATTTGACCCAGTGATCCCACTTCTAGGAATATACCCTAAGAAGCCTGAAACACCAATTAGAAAGTATATATTTATCCCTATGTTCATAGCAGCATTATTTACAATAGCTAAGATATGGAAACAATTCAAGTGTTCATCAGTAGATGAGTGGACAAAAGACTGTGGGACATGTACCTAATGGAATACTATTCAAGTGTAAGAAAGAAAAATCTCTTATCTTTTGAGACACCATGCAGGAAACTTGAAAGTATTATCTTAAGCAAAACATGCCAAACAGAGAAAGACAAGTATCATGTGATCTCACTTATTTGTGGAATATAATGAACATAACAGTCTGAAGAATGAGGTAGTCCCAGAGATGTGGAAGTGGGGTATAGACTGACAATTCCCTTAAGAAGGGGTGGTGGGGGAGAGATAAACCACAGAACTTATATGCATGTATACATGAACAATGGACATGGAGAACAAAGATGAGGACAGGGCTGGAAGGGAGGAATAGGGTGGAATAAGTGGGGGGGGAAAAGGAGAAACATCTGTAACAAAAATAAATTAATTAATTAAAAAAATAAATGTTTTTACATTGATATGGTAATTTACTGAGTTGTACATTTCTGTGTGGTGCAATTTTTTGTTAGGTATTCATAAGTACAAATAAATATTTTAAGTACTTTTTTTTTCCCCTAATATTTATATCTACATAGACTCTTAATTATTATACTCTTACTCTATGAAAGAAGTTTACACTTTCTAAAAGTTCTTCAAAACCTTTAAAACATCATGCTAGCAGGTGGCTGTTGTTTTGCTTTTTAGTTCAGTAAACTAAGGCTGGGGCAGGGTACAGTGGGAAGGCAATGAGCAGTGACAGAGCAGGAAGCAAAACATTTAGTCACATCTGAGTGTAAGGAATCGGGGGCGCCGCCGAATAAAACAGAGAAGAGACTGGAGAGCCAATCAGCCGAATAAACAGGGATCAGGCTTTATTGGGTGCACTCCGGGCGGGTTCACAGACTCCGGGGGTCGAGTCCTAGAAGCCGCACTCAATGTAGGGGCTTGTGTCTTTTATATCTGCCTGTTGCAGCTGGAATTTGTCTCTTAGAGTTTGGCCCTGCGGGGGGCTATGCATGGAGCCTATGGAATATGAATAGATAAGATGGGAGTTAATCTATAGCCTCGAGGCAGGCCATTCAGGGTGGGAGACAAGGCTGAGCAAGGAGACAATGGTCGAGCACTTTGCCTGGTGCCAGTTCCCCAGGCCATCGGACATTCCCGACTCTGTGATAATGACAAAGGGGCGCAGATGTCTTTCTGGCTACTTCGAGCTGGACAGGGGCGGCGTTAGGGGAGGGGGCCCATGTCGGCATGATCCGGGCCTGAGGATCTGGCGAGAGGTTGATAATGGCTTAGCATCATGATCTCGTGCACCGTCTGGCTGGTGAAGGCCTTCAGTCGGTTTTGTAGTAGGGAGGAGAGTAGTCGCAGGAGACAGGGTCCGAAGGCTAAGGCTAGAAAAAGGAGAGTTAGGGGACCCATAAGCGGCAAAACCCTGTGTGCCCAGTTGGAATCGAACCAGGTGCTCCAAGATTGATCTCGCCTTTCCCAAATGCGTTGTGCTCTTTCTTTTAAGTTATTGGCAGCATTTTGGACGAGGCCTGACTGGTTAAGATAGAAGCAGCATTGCTCTTCTGGAACCGGGGCTTTCTTTATCCTAGAGAGATGGATCCAGGCAGAGATCCCCAACACCTTAACTGCAGAGGGAGTAGTCAGAACAACGGTGTATGGCCCCTCCCATTTAGGGTGTAGGGGTCGGGGAGAGAGGGTCCTGATTAGTACTCGGTCTCCAGGTGAAATGGGTTGGGAGAGCTCTGATCCCAGGTCAGGTCCAGGTTTAGGAAGGGTACGGTTAGCATGTTCTCGGAGGAGGGAGCGAAGGAGGGAGAGGTAGGGCAGGTATGAGGCCAGAGGGGGTGGGGAGTCTATAGACGGAGTAGGAAGGAGGAAGGGTCTTCCGTATAGAAGTTCAAATGGACTGAGGTGAGAGGGTCCCCGAGGCGCGGCTCGAAGACGGGTAAGGGCCAGGGGTAGCAGGTCAGGCCAGGACTGTCGGAGTTCCAGGCTGAGTTTGGTTAGATGTTCCTTGATGAGGCCGTTGGCCCGCTCAACCTTACCCGAGGACTGGGGGTGATAGGCTGCATGTAGTTTCCATTTGATGCCAAGAGAGACCGAGACCGCTTCAGTGACCTTGGAGATGAAAGCTGGCCCGTTGTCTGATTGTATGGAGTTTGGCAGCCCAAAGCGAGGGATGATGTCTTTCAGTAGGTGAGTGGCTACGGTTTCTGCAGTCTCTGAGGCGGTTGGGAGGGCCTCGATCCAACCTGGAGAGGCTGTTGCAGGTTGATCTTCAGAGCCTCCGTGGTGAGTTCTGCCGCTGCTGCGAGGGCCCGGAGGCAAGGCTGCCATCTGCGAACAGTGGGGTCCAGCTGCTTTGAGAGGTAAGCAACAGGGATCAGGGTGGGGCCCAGTGGCTGAACCAGGACCCCTATGGCTAAGTGATGTTTTTCGTCTGTATAGAGGAGAAAAGGTCGTTGGGGATTAGGGAGAGCAAGAGCTGAGGCAGAGCACAAAGCCTCTAGGAGGGTCTGGAAAGCCCGGCAGACCTCCTTAGGGGAGGTCAGGGGTCCCTCGGGGGTGTCTCTGGCTGCCTGGTAGAGTGGTCTGGCTAGGAGGGCAAAATTGGGGATCCAGTGCCTGAAGAACCCCATAAGCCCAAGAAAGGACTGAATTTCCATTGCCGAGGTCGGGGATTGTAAGTCCCTAAGGGCCTGCAACCTGTCGGAGGTGATTGCCCGGTGTGTCGGAGTGACAAGGAGCCCTAAATAGGTCACCGAGGGAGTCGCGATCTGGGCTTTCTGTGCAGACACCCGGTAACCCTTGGTGTAAAGAAAATTGAGGAGAGTGGTGGTGGCTGAGATATTATCTCCTTCAGAGGGGGAGCAGATGAGAAGATCGTCTACATATTGGAGAAGAGTGCATGGGGACAGATCACATTCCCTTAAGTCCTGAGCAAGAGCCTGACCAAAGAGGCGTGGACTGTCTCGGAATCCTTGAGGGAGGACAGTCCATGTTAACTGTTGGGAAATATTGGAGACCGGATCTTCCCAGGTGAAAGCAAAGAGAAAATAGGAATCAGGATGTAGCGGGATGGTAAAGAAAGCATCCTTTAGGTCAAGAACCGAGAAATGAGTAGTATGGGGGGGAATATGAGAGAGGAGGGTGTAGGGGTTTGGGACTACAGGGGAGATGGGTATGACTGCTGAATTAATTATGCGAAGGTCTTGGACAAGGCGGTACTGCCCCGAGGGTTTCTTAACAGGCAGAATGGGGGAGTTACAGGGGGAGTTGGTAGGAATGAGGAGGCCCTGGCTTCTGAGTTTAGATATAATGGGGTGGAGTCCTAGTCGGTGAGCCTGAGAGATGGGAAATTGGGGGCGATTGGGGTAAGATGATGGGTTTTTTAATTTGATGAGGATGGGGGCGTGATGTGAGGCAACCGAGGGGGTGTTTGTGTCCCAGACCCCAGGGTGGACTGCCGGTAAGAGCTGGACCGCGGAAGCTGAGGCAGTAGCCTGGGTAGGGCCAGAGAGTAAAGCTATTAAATGGGGCTGCTGGGGGAGGAAAGAGATGGTAGTATGGAGTTTAGATAAGATATCTCTCCCCAAGAGTGGAACTGGGCAGGCAGGCATTACTAAAAAGGAATGGGAGAACGGGTAGCCTTCGAAGATGCAGTTAAGTAGGGCCGTTCGTTTGGGGGTTGTAGGGAGCCCATCAATTCCCATAACCGAGACCTGGGAAGGAAAAGTGAGGCCCGAATGGGAGGGGAGGACAGAGTAGGTAGCCCCCATGTCTATTAAGAAGGAAATAGACTTACCCGCTACCTGGAGCGTGACCCTGGGCTCGGCGAGGGTGACTGGAGTCGCAGAACCAGGGCTGCCTCAGTCGTCCATGAACCCTAGTAGCTCCAATGCTGGGAAATCCTGGGTCTCATTTCCCCAGCATTGAGGTGCTGAGGATTGAGCCAGGGTCGGGCAGTCCGACTTCCAGTGTCCCATTTGTTTGCATTGGGGGCAGGGCTTGGTAGGTGGTCTGGGCTGTGGGCAGGCTTTGGCCCAGTGGCCTTCCTTGCCGCATTTGAAACAGGCGCCTGGAGGCGAGCGAGGTCCCCCTTTTGGGGCCTGGTGTCTTTTCGGGTCCCCTGCTGGCCGTAGGGCAGCTACCAGAGCCTGGGTTTGGAGGCTTACCTTCTGCTGGAGCCTCGACTTGCGGGCTGCTTCAGCCGTCTCCTCCCGGGCATTAAAAACCTTAAAGGCCATTTTTACCAGGTCTTGGATGGGAGTTTCAGGGCCCTCCTCAACCTTCTTGAGCTTCTTTCTGATATCAGGGGTGGACTGGGAAATGAAGTGGGAGGCAAGGACAGTGGCCCCATTTGGGGACCCCGGGTCCAGGCGGGTGTATTTGAGTAGGGCATCCTGAAGTCGGTTAAGGAAGAGAGCTGGGTTCTCATCAGGGTGCTGGGTGATTTCTCTCATTTTATCATAGTTGACTACCTTGTTGGAAACCGTGTCCATGCCTCGAAGGAGATATCGGAGCATGAGGTTCCGGCGCGGGATGTTAGACCCAGGGCCGGCCTGATAATTCCAGGCAGGATCGTCCTGGGGAACCGCTTCATTGCCAAGGGGGACAGTATTGTCCACCAGGTGGTCCCTATCTGCCTGCTGCCGGGCCGCCGCAGAAATGCGCTCATATTCCTCAGGAGTTAGGGTGGAGGCGCAAATGACCCGAATATCATGCCAGGTCAGGTCATATGTCTGGGTGAGATAGCGGAATTCACGGATGTAAAGGGAAGGTTCCGCCAAAAAAGAGCCCAGGCGCCTCTCGATTTGGGAAAGGTCTTGCAAGGAAAAGGGAACGTGAACCCGTACAAGGCCCTCAGCGCCCGCGACTTCTCGAAGAGGGGCAAGGAGAGAGGGCCCTTGGGAGCGAGTATGAGCGGAGACAGGGGACCCAAGGGGATCCTCGGGAAGAGGGGCTGTGGGAGAGGAGAGAGGTGGGTCCTGAGGAGGCTGGCGAACCGGGGGCGGCGCTAGGTGATCTGGGAGATCATCAGGAGGGGGGTAGGGAGGAGAATCAGTGGGGGTAGTTTTAGATGAATGAGGGGCTGTCTGAGCCAGGAGGATCTGCAGGGTACAGCAGTGGGAACACAGGTCGGGGCGGGAACGGAGGTCCCAAAAGGCCTGAATATAAGGGATCTCAGAGCCCTTCTTTGTGCGCCGGCAAAAGTCATCTAAGTCACGAAGGACATTGAAATCAAAGGTGCCCATCGGGGGCCATCGCGACTGATTGTCTAGAGTATATTGGGGCCAGGCGACCTGGGATAGGAAGATTAATTTTTTCTTCCGGAGAGTCTGAGTGTATCCCAATTTGGCGAAATTTTGGAGTAGACCTCCCAGAGGGGTCTTGGGGTCAGGCTTGGATTCGGAATTACCCATGAGGCAAATTTAGTAGGGGGACTGATTCTCGGGGAGCAGACGTTTGTAAGGCGTCCCTGACAAACGTTCGTTCCCGGACGGAATCGGGTGAGAAGCAACCCTATGGGCGTCCCCAAGGGAAGCTTCTACCCTGGGACGAAGGAGTCCCGGAGAGAAGCGGGGGTCGTCCTGGCTTGGCCAAGTCTAGGACAGGAGACCCGGAGAGGAGAACCAGTACCCTTAGAGAGCCAAAAATGACTTACAGTCTGTTGTATTCAGAGGGCAACTCCGGATCCGAGCCTGGAAATCGGTGGCGGCGCTGGGAGAGGAGGGGGACTCTCGGCCCTGGGGTGGGCCGGGTCGCCAATTCCTCCTCCCGGGTTTCGGCACCAGATGTAAGGAATCGGGGGCGCCGCCGAATAAAACAGAGAAGAGACTGGAGAGCCAATCAGCCGAATAAACAGGGATCAGGCTTTATTGGGTGCACTCCGGGCGGGGGGGTCGAGTCCTAGAAGCCGCACTCAATGTAGGGGCTTGTGTCTTTTATATCTGCCTGTTGCAGCTGGAATTTGTCTCTTAGAGTTTGGCCCTGCGGGGGGCTATGCATGGAGCCTATGGAATATGAATAGATAAGATGGGAGTTAATCTATAGCCTCGAGGCAGGCCATTCAGGGTGGGAGACAAGGCTGAGCAAGGAGACAATGGTCGAGCACTTTGCCTGGTGCCAGTTCCCCAGGCCATCGGACACTGAGCTCTTACTTTTCCACAAAGGATGTGTTGGCAGAAGGGGGAAGGGAATGTATAAATAATGTTTTTGTAAATTGATTTTATTTAAAATGCATTGGGGAGCCTGCCACTGAGGAAACCCCATACTAAACTTATTTATTAATTGATTTTGCAAATACTTATCAAGTGCCTATTTTATTCACAGAACTGTGAACCCCTTTGTAATCTAAAATGTTCTTTCATCAAGTGACTGTTTTCTTAAGTTATTGGTTGCACAAGTTCATATTTTCAGATGTTGCTACTTTTTAACTTTTTTTATTATTCTAAAAGTAGTGTGCACTATAAAAAAAATGTTCAAGAGCATTTAGGAATCAGGGAAAAACAAAGAGAAGAAAATAAAATAATCTATACCCATCACCAAGAGACAACCATTGTAAACATTTTAGTATATTTTCCTCTAATAGTTTTTGTAAAGTTGGTGAGCTTTGAGCAGTCACATGACCGAGGAGTCACATGACCAGAACGTCACATGACCAGAAAATTTGATGCCCCAAGAAGAAATCAAAACCACTAATCCATTACCTCCCCTCTTTGTTATGCAGAATAAAATTACTCCCTTCTTTGTTCCTCAACCTTCCCTATAAAACTTTTCTGGATGGCCATAATAGAGTGACTTTCCTGACCCCTGCCACATGGACCAGTGAACCTTGCCCAGAAACGCTTCAATAAAACTTTCTTGCTCAGTTTTGCAGCTCTGTTTCTCTTTCTTCCTCAGCTAGATACTTTAAATTTTGTGCCCAAATCTGGGAGGAGCTTGAGCCCTCTTGGACCACTCCTCTCCCTTTCTCCTGAGAAAGACTAGGGACCACCAACCTTCCACTCAGTTTAGCACACAGTGTGATAAGTCCTTCTACCTCTGGCCTCTCCTTAGTTCTCTCTGCCTCCAAGGCTCTCTGTCCATAATCGCAGTTTTTTCAGAAACATCTTATCCATTCCAAGTGTGTGGGGTTCCACAGAGATGTCCTGGATGCTCCCCACTTTATCCATCAATCTGGTGACTAGAAATTGAGTTGCAGGATGCCAATTCTCATCTCTGATCACTCTGGGACTGAGGACAACCATGGGTAGCCACGAATCTCAACCAAATCCCAAAACACCTCTAGGGTGTCTCATTTTAAATTTCTCAAAAATAGATCCCTCCCTAAAGAAGAAGAAACTGTTATTCTTCTCCACTGTGGCCTGCCACAATACCCACTAGACAACCAGTGCCTCCTGAAGAAACTTTTAATTTTACCATACTCACCAACTTAGAAAACTTTTGCCAAAGAAATGTGAAATGGTAAAAAATTTTATATATTTAGGCTTTTTGTTATTTGCGATCCTGTCCTAACCTCTGTGCCTCCTGTTCCATGGTACAGGTCCTTCTAGCTCAAGACACCCCCTCCAGACCCTGCTCCTGACCTCTTTTCATTTGCTGATCCTCCATCAGAACTGTCCTTGCTTTTCATTCAGCCTGACCCTACTCTTAACTCTCCTCCACCTTACCCTGACCCATCCACCTCTAACTGTCTTCTGCCTTCCATCTTGACTCCCACTCTCTCCCCCATATCAGCACTCACATGCAGTCATATCATGACCCACAGGAAGAGGCTGACCTCCTCTATCTTCTCCATGAGGTAGTGGGAGCACAAGGACTTGTGCAAGTTCATGTCTCCTTTTCTCTCTGATCTATCCACTATCAAAAAGCATTTCGGATCTTATTGTACCAATCCTACAGCCTTTATCAAAGAGTTCAGATATCTCACTCAGGCTTATGATCTTGCCTGGCATGATCTCTCTGTCATTATGTCCTCTACCCTCATCCCCAATTATGTAATCAGATCCGAACAGCGGCACAAGCCCATGCAAATCAGGTATATCTTACAGACAACCAGATGCCCATCAAGACTCAGGCATTCCCTGAGGCAGAACCCAATTGGGCTTATCAAGCAGGGCAGGATGGTAGACAGAGGCAAGACCAGATGGTCCAATGCCTCTTAGCAGGCATGCAGAATGCAGCCCAAAAAGTAGTTAACTATGACAGACTAAGAGAAGTCACTCAGGAACCTTTATTCCTAAACCTCCTGACTGAGGCTATGACTCTCCACACCCAAATGGACCCTGCCTCAGTAGCAGGGGCCACAGTCTTAGCTACTCACTTTCTCTCCCAGTTAGCTCCAGATGTTAGAAAGAAACTTAAAAGGGCAGAAGAAGGCCCTCAAACCCCTATCTGAGACCTGTTGAATATGGCATTTAAAGTCTTTAATGCCCGGGATGACAAGGCTGAGGCCACTTGTCAGGCTTGAATGCCGCAGAAGGTAAACTTCTCAACCCAGGCTCTAGTGGCAGCCCTGAGGCCAGCAGCCCAACACGGGCAGGGTATGGGGTGTGCCCAACCTAAAGAACATAACGTCTCTGGGCTGCCAAAGGGAACCCCACCGAGGGCCTGCTTCAGATGTGTCAACAAAGGCCACTGGGCCCGTCAATGCCATTGTCCACGGCCACCTACAAAACCATGCCCAGACTGTAAAGAGCCTGGTCACTGGCAGAGAAATTGCCCTCTCCAGGTGACAGGCTCATTCTTGGTGCCTCCATGCAGAGGACAGGCCGGCCAAATGGGCCCATCCCTTGAGCTCCTCAGCCTCATGGATGACTAACATATTAGAAAGTCTTGGGGCTACTATCCAAATGACATCACTTTAAATGGCTTCCTCTCATCTTCTCTTACCTCTCCTCTCTGAAGACCCTCCCACAACCACTGACCGCACTCCTTCTCTCAAATTCTTTATCTCCCCAGACATTGTCAACCATCAAGTCTGGGACACCTCTACCCCAATAATAGCCACCCACCACACTCCCATTTAAATTCAACTAAAGGACCCTTCACAATACCCATAGAGGCCCCAGTTCCCCATTTTGGCAACTCACCACCTGGGCCTCAAACCTGTCTCTTAAGCCAGGGTCTGCTGATCCCCACTGACTCACCTTGCAACACCAGGATAGGGGTATTCTTCCTATTAAAAAACCCTCAGGGGTTTACTGCCTCATTTAGGACCTATGTTTGATAAATGAGGCAATTTCCCCCTCCATCCAGTAGTCCCCAACCCTTACACTTTACTTTCACACATCTCCCCTCGTATCACCTACTTTACTGTCCTCGACAACTCACCTGGACTGTCTTGCCACAGGGGTTTTGAGACAGCCCACACCTGTCTGGACAGGTTCTGGCACGGGATCTTGCTTTCTGTTCACTCGAGCCCAGTACCCTTCTTCAATATGTAGATGACCTCCTCCTTTGCAGCCCTTTGCTGTCTGCCTCAAGACAGCACACTGCTACTCTCCTTAACTTTCTCAGCTCCAGTGGATACGGTATCTCCTCTGCTAAAGGCCAACTTCACACCAAGTTTGTCCTTTACCTAGGTGTTTCTCTAACCCCTACCACCAGAGGCCTTACTCTAGACGGGACCCATGCTCTTCACAACCTCCAGTCACCTGAGATTGCAAAACAGATATTCTCCTTTCTTGGTTTGATTAATTTCTTTAGGCACTGGATACCTAATTTTGCCCTCCTAGCCAAGCTCCTCTACACAGCAGCCAGAGAAGCCCCTGCACGACCTCTCACTTTACCCAGTGCCGTAAGAAGAAGGCCCTTCTCCACCCTCCATGACGGTTTAATCTCTTCCCCTCTTCTCACTCTGCCTGATTTCACATGCCCTTTTCACCTTTTCACAGATGATAAACATGGGAATGCAGTAGGAGTCCTGGCCCAACCAATAGGGCCTACCTACCACTCGGTGGCGTACCTCTCCAAACAGCTAGATACCACTATCCAGGGATGGCAGCCCTGCCTTCGAGCATTAGGCACAACAGCTGAACTTGCAAAAGAAGCAAGTAAACTGACCCTATGCCAACCCTATATCTGTTTTCTCATCACATAGACTCACTGACCTTCTCTTACATAAATCTCTTTCCCTACTAGGTCCTTCCTGGATAGAGAAATTTTATCTCCTATTCACAGAAAACCCTTCCATCACTCATTTCCCCCCTGGCTCAATCCAGCCACCTTACTTTTAATTCCGGTTGTAATT